GCGCCCTTCCTTCTCCTTTGCCCCTTGGAGGAGGGCCCCTTCCTTCCTTCAGAAGGTGCTTCCTGGACATGGAGCTTGGACTCAAAGTCCAGGGCCTGTCTCTTATACACATCTAGATGTGTATAAGAGACAGCTCCAGGCGTGAGTTAAAAAAAAAGTCTCTTTTTGACACTCCTGAAACGGTTTTCACTTTTGCAGTAGCGGATGCTGATCCCAAGGCTCGATCCCTGGACCTCGCTCACCTGTGTACAGTACCCCGTGAGTTTGAACCCGTGACCTGCATCATAGGAGTCAGTTGTTGTCTGTCATAGGTCTGTGTAGTTGTTGGGTCTTGAACTGTAGATCTGTCGCGTAGGGTCGAAGTTGTTTGTCGTAGGTCTGTGTAGTTGATGTGTCTTGAACTGTAGATAAGTCATAGGCAAGTGGGCAAGTGGTGAGTCCCACCGTGCTGAGTCAGCGGTACCAGTTCCAGTCGCACTTAGTCAAGTCAACAAAGTACCGAAGGTGGTCTGTAGTGAGCCCGAAGTCGAAGTGGGCAGAGAGAAGGGGATCGTCTGTAGTGGCAGTGTTAGTAAGTGGCCATAGCCGCCAGGGTTAGAGATAGCGGTTAGTAATTGTGTGCGTGCGTATGAGAGAGTGAGCGTGTGCGGGGTATTCAGGTTGATCCAAAGTCGAGTGCGTGTGTGTGAACGTTGGAGGACAAAGTGTGAGAGTGGGATGTACAAGGCGTGTTGGTGCCATAGCCTGTTGAACGAAGTTTGCATCTGAACTATGTTCTCGAGTTCCATATCTCTGAGTTTTGAGTGGGCGCCTGACGCCAGTTTGCATCTGCACTCCGTTTTGCTCCATTTTTAACAGAAAACCCCGTTCTTTTTCTTTTCTCCTTTTGTTTTCCAAGAAAAATTTCGTTGTTTGTTTTCTTCTCTTTTTTATTTTTTCTTGCGAAGGAAGCAAGCATAGAGATGGCAAACAGATGGCTCCAACAGATGGCAAACAGTCTGGCGCCAGGGCGCCCACCCAAAGCTCATAGATATGGAAGTCGAGAACACAGTTCAGATGCAAACGTCATTTAACAGGCTATGGTGCCAACATGCCCTGTACATCCACTGTCGACACTCTGTCCCACTGCTGCACACAAGCACCTCACTCTAGATCACCCTAAATATCCCATACACACACTCACTCTCATACACGTACACACACACGCATCAACTGCTATCACTAACCTCGACGGCTATGGGCGCTACTAGCCACTACTACTAACACTAGTCTTCCTCGCTGCCGACTTCGTCTTTGGACTTCATGCAGACCACCTCTCACAAACGCTCGGACAACGCTTCCGCATGGCGCACACCGGAATCAATGACTCGTTGGGCGTTGCCTCTTGATTTATACTTCTGTTGGACTCTGGTCTGCCCTTTTCCACCGGGCCTTTGGCGCACACAGTCCCACATGGTACTTGCTAACTTCACTAAGTGCGATTGGGACTGGTACCGCTGACTCGGCACGGTAAGACTTACCACTTGCCCACTTGCCTTTGACTAATCGTGGGAGACCTCTGAATGGCCGCTTCCGGAGCTTCCGGAAGTCTATACACTTGGCCTTTCTGTTTCTGTAGCAGCTACGACCTTGACCTTTCAGAACTGTAGCAGCGACGACCTTGACCTTTCAGAGAAGCTACAGCTACGACCTCTACAACAACTTTGACCCCTATGCGACAGATCTACAGTTCAAGACCTGACTACTACACAGACCTATGACAAACAGCTAAAGACTCCTACGACGCATGTCACGGGATGAAACTCACGGGGCACTGTACACAGGTGAGTGAGGTCTAGGGATAGAGCCCTGATACCTGCATCCGCTTCTGCAAAGGTGAAAACCGTTTCAAGTGTTTTTAGAAAAGCGTTTTTCATTTTTTCATGCGCTCGAACTGGGCAAAACCCAACAGCTGTTGCTGAAGGTAAGAAATTTGTTATCACCATACATAACTTAATGTTTAAAAAAAAAAAGGGGACCGGGGGGGGGGCGGGGGGGAGGGGAAAGGATGATTTAAATTTTATTTTTTCCTTTTTAAAGTTGCGCAGGCACGGTGGGCGACCTCCTCAAGCACACCCGTATTTAAAAAAAAAACAAATTAATCTGTTTGGGCGCAGCGTTCGGCCCGGCGGGTCCCGTACGTGCGGACGTTCGGGTCCGGGCGTTCGGCCCATCCCGAACGCCGATGACTCTGTATATATATATATATATATATATATATATATATATATATATATATATATATATATATATATANTATATATATATATATATATATATATATATATATATATATATATATATATATATATATATATATATATATATATATATATATATATATATATTAGGAGACCTAGTTTGGGTCAAAGGTGTTATTTTCCACCCAATTGTGACTCATAATTAGGTTATCCTACCAGCTGGCCGGGCTAGTTAGGGCTGACTCTTTCAAAATTGTGCATGAACCAAACCGTCGGTTGCAACTGTCCACGGCGGTTTGCAGCGACGACCACCTGATTGCGGACTTTGGTACTCGTTGAGCTTTTGTAGATCTTGTATAAAGTATAAGTTCACTTATTACTTGTTGTCTGAGTTGCCACTTGCTGATAAGGTTGTCGTCCTATTTCTTTGGGCTACTGTTCCCCAGACTGATTGAAATTATAAAACTTGAATTGACGGCAACTGCTGGGCTTGAGGTTGTACGGTTAGATCTGACTCGCTGTTAAGTGCGGTTGTTGCAACTGCTATGCCTTGAGGGGTTGACTAAGAGCATGCCCTGCTTTGAGAGTTAATGTTGTTACCACTGTATGATTGCTATATTGATATGAATAGAGTATTGTGGTTGTTGTAGTGCTGCCACCCTTGTCTAAGTTGTACTGTCTAAGTTGTGCTGCGTTGATAGTTAATCGATCTTAAAATATTCGAAGAATCCTAATGATGTTTATCCAAAGAAATCTGCCACAACACATATGTTGAAGTGAGATGTCCTTTGTATACCCCAACAAAAAAATTCCCATGAGAAACGAAAGTTAAAAAAACATTCCATAAAAAAAAAGTCCTTCATACTTATTAATTATCATTCCAATGTTTGTCAAATTTTAAAATTTTTAATTTAATTTCATAATTTCCCGTCTAAATATGAGTTTTCCCTTCCAACTACATCTATTTGTTTAAGATGGAATGAAAGTCTAGACGAGTTTATGAAATATTTTAATTAAACTTTCATTCTACTACAACAAATATTGTCTAATTTAGATTGGATTAACATATTTATGACTGCAAATCCTCACTTAGAATGACAGTGTAATTAAAATATTTCATGAACTCATCCAGACCTGTGTAACATACCGAACATGTTCGGAGCTTTTTCGAACGTCCGAATATGTTCGGGTGTTCGGCCGAACGCCAGCCGAACGTGTTCGGCCGAACATATTAAAAAAAAAACTAAAAATAAAAGAATATTTTTGGTTTTTGATTTTTAACTCGAGTTTGGTTACGAATTTGACCATACCTCCAGACAAAAGTTGTTTGTATGGGTATTGCACATAACATATATTTTTTTCAGAGTTTTTGGAGAACTTTTTGTTTTTTTTTTTATAATATTTTTATGTTCGCGTTCGGAGAATTTTAGCGCTTGTTCGCGTTCGGTCCCGAACGTTCGGGTTCGGTCACCGAACCCGAACAGGATGCTACAAAGATCCAGACTTTCATTCCAACTCTAGCATGCAGTTCAAATAAGAAGGAATACCTCATTCTTGGAAGAAAAATTTTCAAGTAAGACGGAAAATTTTAAAATTGGAATGACATTTTTTAAGATGGAATGAAAATTTGAAATTTATAATGTAATTTTAATCTAGAATGATTATTTAATTCTGGAAATTTTTTATGTTGCCGTAATCCCTTGACCCTTCTTTGCATACTTAGTCGTTTTTTCTGTCCCTGTCCCTACGCCCTAGACCCTTCTTTGTGTTCGCCGAAAAATAGAGCCCAGAGGTTTCATTTTTTTTCTTTGCATACTTAGTCGTTTTTCCTGTCCCTCTCCCTACGCCCTAGGCCCTTCTTTGCGNTTTCTTTTTTTTCTTTGCATACTTAGTCGTTTTTCCTGTCCCTCTCCCTACGCCCTAGGCCCTTCTTTGCGTTCGCCGAAAAATACAGCCCAGAGTTTTCTTTTTTTTCTTTGCATACTTAGTCGTTTTTCCTATTCCTATCCCTACCTCCTAGGCTCTTCTTTGCGTTCGCCGAAAAATACAGCCCATAGTTTTTTTTTTTCTTTGCATACTTAGTTATTTTTCCTGTTCCTATCCGTATCCTTACGCCCTAGGCCCTTCTTTGCGTTCGCCGAAAAATGGAGCCTAGAGATTTCTTTTTTTTCTTTGCATAATTAGTCGTTTTTCTTGTTCATGTCCCTACACCCTAAGCCCTTCTTTGCATTGGACGAAAAATAGAGCCCAAAGTTTTTTTTTTTTTCTTTCCATACGTAGTCGTTCTTCCTGTTCCTATCCCTAGGCTCCAAACCCTTCTTTGCTTTCGTCGAAAAATACAGTCGAGAGCTTTTTTTTTTCCCTTTGCATACTTAGTCGTTTTTTCTGTCCTTGTCCCTACGCCCTAGGCCCTTCTTTGTGTTCGCTGAAAAATAGAGTCCGGAGCTTTCTTTTTTTTCTTTGCATACTTAGTCGTTTTTCCTGTCCCTCTCCCTACGCCCTAGACCCTTCTTTGCGTTCGTTGAAAAATAGAGCCCAGAGTTTTTTTTTTTTTTTTGCATACTTAGTTTTTTTTCTTGTTCCTATCCCTAGGCCCTAGGCCGTTCTTTGCATTCGCCGAAAAATACAGCCCAAAGCTTTTTTTTTTTTCTTTGCATACTTAGCCGTTTTCCTGCCCCTGTCCCTACGTCATAGGCACTTCTTTGCATTCGCCGAAAAATAGAGCCCAAAGCTGTTTTTTTTTTTTCTTTGCATATTAGTCGTTTTTCCTGTCCCTCTACCTACGCCGTAGGCCCTTCTTTGCGTTCGTCGAAAAATACAGCCTAGAGCTTTCTTTTTTTTTGTATACTTAGTCGTTTTTCTTATTCCTACCTCTACAGCCTAGGTCCTTCTTTGCATTCGCAAAAAAATAGAGCCCAGAGCTTTCTTTTTTTTCTTTGCATACTTAGTGATTTTTCCTGTTTTTATCCCTATCCCTACGTCCTAGGCCCTTCTTTGCGTCCGCCGAAAAATAAAACCCAGAGCTTTCTTTTTTTTTCTTTGCATACATAGTCGTCTTTCAGGTTCTTGTCCCTACGCCCAAGGTCTTTCTTTGCGTTCGTCGAAAAATAGAGCCCAAAGCTTTTTTTTTTTTCTTTGCGTACTTAGTCGTTTTTCAGCTTCCTATCCCTATCCCTACGCCTTAGGTCCTTTTTTGCGTTCGCCGAAAAATAGAACCCATTTTTTTTTTTGTTTTCCTTTGCATACTTAGTCGTTTTTCATGTTCATGTCCCTACATCCTAGACCCTTATTTGCATTCGCCGAAAAATAGAGCGCAAAGCTTTTCTTTTTCCTTGCATACTTAGTCGTTTTTCCTATTCCTATCCCTAGGCCCTAGGCCCTTCTTTGCGTTCGCCGAAAAATACAGTCCAGAGCGTTCTTTTTTTTCTTTGCATACTTGGTCGTTTTTCCTGTTCCTGTCCCTACGCCCTTGGCCCTTCTTTGCGTTCGCTGAAAAATACAGCCCAGAGCTTTCTTTTTTTTCTTTTCATCCTTAGTCATTTTTAATGTTCCTATCCTTATGCCCTAGACCCTTCTTTGCATTCGCCAAATTATACAGCCCAGAGATTTCTTTTTTTTCTTTGCATACTTAGTTGTTTTTCCTGTTCCTATCCCTACGCCCTAGGATTTTCTTTGCGTTCGCCGAAAAATACAACCCAGAACTTTCTTTTTTTTTCTTTGCACACTTAGTCATTTTTCCTGTTCCTATCTCTGTCCCTATGTTATGATTCTGGTTGTTCGTTGCCTGATGGCCAACACTCACTCACATAGACTTCTGCACATGCCCATACACACATAGAAGTAAGGGGAGAGGATAGGAGTATCACACCGCACAGGGAGAGAAAAACACAGCGGAAGACTTGACCATGCGATATGACAGGGTACACTGAAAGTGCAATACACTCCACTCAATCCTCACAACCAGTCATAGAGAAAAGCCGAGCAGATCACATCCAAGAAACAATGAAATGATGATAGTCCCAACACAGTATCACACTATTTATTAAACCCAGAGTCTCGAATTATCAGGATAACTTCAGTACTACAGTGCGCTGCTCAGAATTGAGCAGCGCTTCACTCTCCAACCCTGATAGACACCCGTAACACCCCCTGAGCCCTGAAACATCAAGCGTCACCCAAATACAGCCTCTTGGGGGCAACGCCACCCTGAAACAGGCCTCTGAGGCCAAACGCCACTCAGAGGATGAAGGAGAAGACCAGCGCCACAATATCTGATGATGACAAAGTGTCGGGAGGCTTCCCGGGTGGAAGCCTGCAGCAGCGCCACCAAACCCTGACAAGATGACCTCTGAGATGAAGATGCTGTAGCTATGGTTGCAGCGCAAACCCTCTGGGACCCCACTCCGGAGGAGAGTCCATCAGGGCACCAATCTCTCTCGCATCCAGGAGACCTCGATAACCCAGACCTCTGTCAGCCCCTACGTGCTGGCAGAGTACAGCGGAGGTCCCAGCTATGGCCTGCACTCCGAAGGTCTGGCTATGCTCGTCTTCTTCCACGCTGAGCCGTCACCACTTCCGGTTCTCACGTAGTGCAACAGCGATGTACACGGTACCAACTGCCCAAAGCCCTGAACCGATGTGCCCATCCTACTTCTAGCCTACACCGACCTAGACCGGACTGACTGACCGACCGGTACCGTATCTGTTGCGGCCTCTACCGGACCCGGCTATAGGCTATAGGACCGTCTATACGGATAGGCCCTTAGGGCCTGTCTGTACTACTGGTAGCCCGGGCCTGCTAAACGCAGTTAGGTAGCTGTAGGGAATCCGGTTAGTACCGGGCCTGTATTTTCCCGGATTTGCAGATATGTCCCTCACAATTTTCCCTCACAGGTAGGTCTCTCGGTTAGCCCTCAGCCAAACAAAATTACGAATCTGTCCTACCTATAGTACAACCTCGACAGAGAGAGGCTACAGGCACTCAGAAAACAGCAAGTCATTGCAGACCTACCCTCCCTCGGAACGAGGACCTCCGAGCTAGGGGCGTAGGCGTGCAAAGCGCCGAAGGGATGCCCCCTTCTGTGCTGCCTCATATTTGAGGATGACAGACTTGGCTGTCTTCAGGAGATCCTTGCGAAGAAACCAACGATCTTGAGTGTGCGGCTGGTACAAGAACTTCACAAGGTATTCCTTATATGGGCCTGTCCCTGACTTATCCTCCACATATTCGACCTCATACCCTTTACCACGGATAGGGGGACCGAATTGTGGAGGCCTGTCTGGAAATGCATCAGCTGGCATAAATGACAATAACTTAGATGCATGAAAGACAGGGTAGGTTTGTAGATGCAGAGGGACGTCCACACTGTAGGACAGTCCAAACGGATCAGCTCTCACTGTATCTAAGACCTGCCATTGACCCATATATCGTGGCAGCAGCTTAGGTGAAATGTCCTCCTCTCGTGACAACTCAGAACTGAGTACCCACACCCAGTCACCTGTGCGAATCGTAGAAGGACGCCTGTGCTTATTAGCCTGTTGAATCATAGCCTTTTGGACTTTCAACAAGTTAGCACGGGCACGCTCTATGTCCACACGGTAACGCCTGGTGAACTCTGCAGTTCAAAGTGTCAGCGTAGGGGTAGCCTTGTCGATGATATCATCGAGAGGCTGCCGTGGTTCACGACCCCAATGCAACCGGTAGTGTGTGAAACCAGTCGAGGAGTGTACAAACGTGTTATACACAAGCTGTGCACGACTCAGATGGAGATCCCAGTCCTGCTGATCTGGACTGATCACAGGACGCGGCAATTGGAATAGAATCTGGTTCATCACTTCAGCCTGACCATTGGCTTCAGGATGATGACCAGATGTCATATCCAAGCATGAATGAAGGTAATCCCTGCAGTAGGATTGCCATTCATTGCTGCAAAAACGGGAATCTCTGTCACTGACAATGGAAGTGGGTGGTCCATGATGTGTAACCCACCGGTCACCAAACGCCGCCTGAACGGTTGGCACACGAGCCTCAGCTGGTAAGGGGATGAACTCTGCATATTTGGAAAACCGATCCACACAGACCATAACCTGACGCATACCTCGTGGTGTAGTCTTACCCAAGTCAGTGAAATCAATAGAAACTGACCGTGAAGGAGCATCAGGGATAGGTAGGGGTTTGAGCAAGCCAAGGGGAGGTCGGCGTACCACCTTGTTCCTTTGGCACAACTCACAGGTTTCCACCTAGTGCAGCATGTCACTCCTCATCTCCTTCCAGAAGAAGCGCTGCGACAGGGCTGCATAAGATTTGAGGGCACCAAAGTGACCACGAGCGTCATGACACTCTGACATCAGRAGKGTCCTCAGCTTGCGGTCYTGGGGAATGCACAGRCACTCCTCGCCTCTGCTGCACGTGTACAGCAGGCCTGAGACCAGAGAGTATCCTGGTTCAGAGGCAGGATCGTCCTGGAGATTCCTCACAATAGGCCCAAAGATCTCATCCTGGGGCAGCAACTGGGCAATGGTCTGACGTGTCCTCTCTCCAAACGAGTGAGTAAAGGAGATCAGAAAGAGAGCGTCAGACCTACGAGAAAGGGCATCTGCTACTCGATTGTAGCAACCCTTCTTGTGTCTCAGTTCAAAGTCAAACATGTCAATGAACTGAATATAGCGAGCAAGCTTATCATTCAACTCTCCCTGAGACTTCATCCACTGAAGGGTGGAGTGATCTGAAAAGATCTTGAAGTGTCTGCCCAGGAGAAAGTGCTTCCAATGCTTGAGCGCTGACACAAGCGCATAGAGCTCCTTCTCATAGGTAGAGTCCTGCAACTTCTTGGTCTTGATCTTCTTGCTCATATACTCAATAGGCTGCAGACCATTCCCATCATCCTGCTGAAGTACCGCCCCTACACCATACTGGCTAGCATCAGTAGTCAGTACACAAGGCAAGGTAGGGTCAGGTAGCTTCAGGACAGGGGCACGAATCAAGGCCTCCTTGAGACGTGTAAAGGCCTCCTGACATTCTGACGTCCAAAAAAAGGAAGTGTCTTTCTTTGTAAGATCAGTCAGGGGAGCTGCAATCGCTGAGAAGTTCTTGATGAACTTCATGTAATAGGATGCAAGCCCCAAGAAAGACCGGACATCACGAATGTTAGCAGGTCGCGGCCAGTCCTGAACTGCAGCAACTTTCGTTGCCTCAGGAGCCAACCCTTCTCCATAAATCACATGCCCCAGATAGATTACAGAGGGAACCCCAAAGGAGGACTTCTCTCTGTTAATCTTATACCGGTTAGCACGCAAGGCCTGGAGGACCAGAGCCAGATGCTGCGCATGCTCCTGGACAGAACGGCTGAATACCAAGATGCCACCAAGGTAGACAACTACGAACTTGTCCAGGTAAGGCCTCAGTATGCGATGCATCTCTGTTTGGAAGGTGCCTGGCACATTGCAAAGACCGAATGGCATAACCAGGTACTCGTAAGTCCCATACCTGGTTTTGAAGGTTGTCTTGTAGACATCGCCTTCAACCATCTCAATCTGGTGGAAGCCAGATTTGAGGTCGATCTTGCTGAAAATAGTACAGCCCTGCACCATATCCAACAGGTCATCAATACGAGGAAGAGGCTCTGTAGACTTCCTCGTGATCTTGTTGACACCCCGATAGTCCACACACATCCTGAACTCACCATTCCCCTTTGGAACAAAGAGGAAAGGTGCCCCAAACTCAGATGTGCTAGGTCTGATCCAACCCTTGCTGGTCAGGGTCTCTAACTGTTTCCTTAGCTCTTCAAGTTCAGCAGGAGACATCCTGTAGACCCGGCCCTTGGGAGGGACCGAGCCAGGCAGGATCTCAATCTTATGTTTGGTTTGCCTATGGACAAGTCCAATAGGCTCCTCCATAAGATCCGAGAAGCGGTCTACTACCTGCTGAATTTGAGAGGGACAGGGAGCAGTCTCCACGTCAGTCTGTTTGACATAAGCCACAAACAGACGAGCGTGGTCAGTCTGGCGTGAGAATCGCAAAACTTGCGAGCACTCATACAATAACAACTGCTGGCCGGATGGTACTCGTCAGCGAGCATGCAAGGGCGATAGACCCCATGCCGGTCAGGCAGCTCAACCCTAGGGATCTGCCAGTCAATCCTGGGGTTGGTGGCACTAAGCCACTGCATGGAGAAGACAAGGTCAAAGAGAACATCAGGAAACACATAGAAGTTCAGGCGGTGCTTGACTTCCCCCTGCTTGTCAAAGGACACAGGTAGGCCCTTGACAGCAGTGGTAATCCTGACTGTGGAAGAGTCCCCAATGCGGACTTCCAATGGCTGTCGCAATTTCACCAACCTCAGGTCCAAGTGCAGTTTGCTGACTGCCTTGGGGGAGATGAAGTTGCGAGTAGCCCCACAGTCCAAGAGCCCTTTGATCTTGGCTCCCAGGATGTAGGGTCGAAGCAGGATGAGTTCAGACTTGTGCTTCTTCTTCTCCTGCAAGGACAGGAAAAACTCAGCAATAGTCTGAGCATCGTCCTCCTCCCACGTCTCATAAAGTTCAGAGTCTTCAAAAGTGAAAGACCCTGCCAATGCAACTCTAGAAATAAAAGTACCAGCGAGAGAATGTGAAGATCCACTTCCATCAAAGAGGGAATCAACAGTGGTGGAAGGAGCTGCTGCTTCCACCTCTCTCTGCTCTAGTTTTTTGAATTAGAGCCGCCTGCAGACCTACGAGGCATACTGGGACAATCCTTGAGAAAATGGTCCCTCTCGCATCTCAGGCAGACCCCCTTTTCCTTCCTCTTCCTCCAAACTCCCTCCTGGATCCTGAGTGCATGCCAGGGGAAGGTGAAAGGATCAAGTGGGTTAGCTGGCCAGCGGACGTTTCGTGGTAGAGGTACTCTCTGGCCCCAGGGGAAGAGGCACGTCCCTTCCCTTTCCCCTGGTGACTGGTTGGTGCTTTCTGGTCCGGGGTCTTTCCCTTTGCCAAGCCCATCAAAGCATCAGCCAGGGCAAGAACAGGATCTGCAGATGATGATGATGCAGTCCCAGGTGGAGGGCTCCCACCCTGGGATGCTGCGTCACTATCAGAACTAAAAACTGCAACAGCAAACAGGGCGCCCTTCCTTCTCCTTTGCCCCTTGGAGGAGGGCCCCTTCCTTCCTTCAGAAGGTGCTTCCTGGACATGGAGCTTGGATTCCACGGCCCTGTCTCTTATACACATCTAGATGTGTATAAGAGACAGGTCCTTGTGGCCCTGAGAGAAGAGAGCAAGCTGGAATTGCTCAGGCGCTGCCCTCAGGAAATGAATGAGCAGATCCTGCTCACTCATCTCCAACTATGGCTGCAGCAGCGCCATAGTTGTCGGGAGGCTTCCTGGGTGGAAGCCTGCAGCAGCGCCACCAAACCCTGACAAGATGACCTCTGAAATGAAGATGCTGCAGCTATGGCTGCAGCGCAAACCCTCTGGGACCCCACTCCGGAGGAGGGTCCATCAGGGCACCAATCTCTCTCGCCTCCAGGAGACCTCGATAACCCAGACCTCTTTCAGCCCCTGCGTACTTGCAGAGTACAGCGCAGGTCCCAACTATGGCCTGCACTCCGAAGGTCTGGCTATGCCCGTCTTCTTCCACGCTGAGCCGTCACCACTTCCGGTTCACACGTAGTGCAGCAGCGATGTACACGGTACCAACTGCCAAAAGCCCTGAACCGATGTGCCCATCCTAGTTCTAGCCTACACCGACCTAGACCGGACTGACTGACCGACCGGTACCGTATCTGTTGCGGCCTCTCGACCGCTACCGGACCCGGCTATAGGCTATAGGACCGTCTATACAGATAGGCCCTTAGGGTCTGTCTGTACTACTGGTAGCCCGGGCCTGCTAAACACAGTTAGGTAGCTGTAGGGAATCCGGTTAGTACCGGGCTTGTATTTTCCCGGATTTGCAGATATGTCCCTCACGATTTTTCCTTACAGGTAGGTCTCTCGGTTAGTCCTCAGCCAAACAAAATTATGAATCTGTCCTACCTATAGTACAACCTCGACAGAGAGAGGCTACAGGCACTCAGAAAACAGCAAGTCATTGCACCTATGCCCTGGGCCCTTCTTTGCGTTCGCCGAAAAATAGAGCCCAGTGCTTTCCTTTTTTTCCTTTGCATACGTAGTCGGTTTTCATGTTCATGTCCCTGCGCCCTAGGCCCTTCTTTGCGTTCGCCGAAAAATAGAGCCCAGAGTTTGTTTGTTTTTTTGCATACGTAGGAACCATTTTTCTTATTATCTGTTGTGTTCGTCAGTACATGGGTCATTTTACTCGAAGACACCATTTCGGGTCCCTACGCCCTAGGCATTCCTTTGCGTTCGCCAAATTATATAGTCAAGAGCTTTCTTTTTTTTCTTTGCATACTTAGTTATTTTTCCTGTTCCTATCCCTAGACCCTAGGCCCTTCTTTGCGTTCGCCGAAAAATACAGTCCGGAGCTTTTTTTTTTTCCTTTGCATACTTAGTCGTTTTTTCTGTTCCTATCCCTAGGCTCTAGGTCATTCTTTGCGTTCGCCGAAATATACAGCCCAGAGCTTTCCTTTTTTCATTTGCATACTTAGTCGTTTTTCCTGTCCCTATCCCTACGCCCTAGGCCCTTCTTTGCGTTCGTCTAAAAATAAAGCTCAGAGTTTTTTTTTTTTTTTTTTTACTTAGTCGTTTTTCCTGTTCCTATCCCTACGCCCTAGGCCCTTTTTTGTGTTCGCCGAAAAATACATCCTAGAGCGTTCTTGTTTTTCTTTGTATACTTAGTCGTTTTTCAGGTTCATATGAGAAAATGTTAACAACATGTTTTTTTTTGGGGATGCCTAAAGAGGTGAATTCAGGATATCTATGAAACTCTACAGTGGGAAGGGGTGCTTTCTGACCTTCAGGGCATTCAACCCTTCTGGATCGTTCGGAATCCTCAAGCTCTTTCAGGCCTTCAGAGTATTCACCCCTTCAAGATCGTTTAGGATCCTCAAGCTTAACAGTAGAAGTCATAGGGCGGGAGGGGGTTCTTTCAGGCCTTCAGGGCATTCACCCCTTCAGCATCGTTCACATTGTTCAGGATGCTGAAATTACATAACATTGGAAACCAGAAAGTGGGTACGGATGCTCCTTTCAGACCTCCGAAGACATTCACCTTCAGGGCATTTACCCCTTCAGGATCGTTTAGAATCCTCAAGCTTGACAGTGGGAGCCATACGGTGGGGGGGGGGGATGATTTCAGGCCTTCAGGGCATTCACCCCTTCAGGATCGTTCGGGATCCTCAAGCTTAACAGTGGGAGCCATACGGTGTGGGGGGGGGTAATTTCAGGCCTTCAGGGCATTCACCCCTTCAGGATCGTTCAAGATCCTCAAGCTTAACAGTTGGACCCATAAGGTGGGGGGGGTTCTTTCAGGCGTTCATAACATTCACCCCTTCAGGATCATTCAGGATCCTCAAGGTTAACAGTGGGGGGGGGTTCTTTCAGGCCTTCAGGGTATTCACCCCTTTAGGATTATTCACATTGTTTAGGATGTCAAAACGACAGAACACTGGACAACAACGGTAGGCACGGGTGCTCTTTTCAGACCTCCTAAGGTATTAATCCCTTCAGGATCGTTCAAGATCCTCAGTGCTTAACAATGGGAACCATAGGGTGTGGGGGGGGTGCTTTCAGGCCTTCAAGGCATTCACCCCTTTACGATGGTTCACGGAAAAAAAAATAAAAATAAAAATAAATCATGAAGACGATAAATAATCCTGAAGGGGTGAATGCCCTGAACGGCCTGAAAGCAACCCCGCCTTTGACTCTCACTATCATGAAGGGGTGAAGGCCTTGAAAACCCTCGCACCTCCATTCGACTCCCTGCTTCAGACCACCGAAGACCTTCACCTCTTCAGGATCGTTTAGGATCTTCAGCGCTTAATAGTGGGAGTTATACGGTGGGGAGGGGTGCTTTCAGACCTTCAGGGCATTCACCCCTTCAGGATCATTCGAGATCCTCAAGCTTAACATTGGGAGCGATACTGTTGGGGGGGGTGCTTTCAGACCTTCAGGGCATTCACCCCTTCATGATCGTTCAGGATCCTCAAGCTTAACAGTGGGACCCATAGGGTTGGGGAAGAGGGGGGTTCAGGCCTTCAGGGCATTCACCCTTTCAGGAACGTTCAGGATCCTCAAGCTTAACAGTAAGAGTCATAGGGTGGGAGGGGGTTCTTTCAGGCCTTCAGGGCATTCACCCCTTCAGGATCGTTCACATTGTTCAGGATGCCAAAATCACACAACACTTGAAACCAGAAGGTGGGGACGGGTGCTCCTTTCAGACCTCGAAGACATTCACCTTCTGGGCATTCAGGCCTTGAGGATCGTTCAGGATCCTCACAATTAACAGTGGGAGCTATACGATGGAGGGGGGGGTGCTTTCAAGCCTTCAGGGCATTCACCCCTTTAGGATCGTTCGGGATCCGCAAGCTTAACAGTGAGAGCCATACGGTGGGGGGGGGTGCTTTAAGGCCTTAAGGACATTCACCCCTTCAGGATCGTTCACAATCCTCAAGATTAACAATGGGACCCATAAGGTGGGGGGGGGGGGTCTTTGACGCCTTCAGGGCATTCACCTCTTCAGGATCGTTCATGATGCTCAAGGTTAACAGTGGGGGCCATAGGGGCGGGAGGGTCTTTGAGGCCTTCAGGGCATTCACCCCGTTCACATTGTTCGGGATGCCAAAACGACACAAAATTGGAGAACAAAGGTGTGAACGGGTGTTCCTTCCAGACCTCCGAAGGCATTCACCTCTTCAGGATCGTTCAGGATTTCAGCGCTTAACAGTGGGAGCCATACAAGAGGGGGGGGGGGGGGCTTTCAAACCTTC